TGACTGCTCTCCACATCTCCAGACAACCTCACAGCACAGCCGCAGAAGACTGCCAACCAAGCGGTCTGAATCGGACTGAATCTAAGCCTAACCACAGGAAGTCAAGAACCATGCTGTCAGCTGCCGACTACAGAAATGCTGTGAATTTCAGCCCACAAATTTGTCAGGCGGTTGAATGTTCATTCTGTTCTCTCTGCTCAAGGCTCAGGAGCACGCATGAGCTTGGAGAACAAGGGAATGTCCTTGCAAACGGCAAAGACCCGAGTCAGTTGCACAGTTTGCAAGCAGGGTGCTCAACCAAACTCTACTAGGACCCACAGCGAAGGGTTGCAGCATGCTACAACCTGCCACAAGAATCCAAACGAGTATTGAAAGTTCAGCTGCGCCCATTGCAGTTCTTGGATCACTGACTTGGCTCCGAATCAAGTCTGTATCTCATTACACTGTCAAGCATGGAATATGGTATCCTGTCAGCCGGCACTGCGGCAGTCTTTAATCTACCTCGAGCTGATAACTATCCTACGAACAACTCCTGTTCCGGGACGCTTGGAAAACCGAGCCTGTCCTCAAAGTCTGCGGCTGGTCGACCGAGCAAGAACCTGCCGCGGCGAATGATGTAAGCGAATAAATTGTATCTTCAAAAGATGTGCAGAAACGTACGCATGCCATACCTCCCTAGGGGAAGTAATGAAGACGTGCAGCTTACCGCACAGAAAGAACATCAAGAACTGAAATGCGCGTTAAGATGCATTAAGTAGATTAAGTGGTCCATGTCTTCACTTGAAGATCAAGGCAGGAATCCTGTAATCAAGCGCATCAAACCATGATGACATGGACACCAGCACAATGTAGGGTGTGGATTCCAGCAAGAGAGATCATACTGGCAGCACTTCCGATGCTGACATGACGACAAAATGCGACAAAGCATGGGGACTCAAGCTCATGAAGTGAATGACTCACAAGTAGTAACCATTGGCATGGTCGCAATCTCGTGTGATTGCATTCGCATCCCGCGTTTTAAAGCATCATGCAACTCGACTCTATTCATCGTCTGGTTCCAAGTCGAGCTCTCCATAGAGAGGACAAGACCCCTGAAGGATGGCAGACCAGTCTGGTGGCACTTCGCCATAGAACACCGCGTTCTGCAGAGCCGGGCAGTGGGCGGCCAGCGCACGTACGATTCGGCAATCCGGATCTGCTTCCTGGGGCTGAGGCGAAGGCTTGGGAAGGCAGCGACGACAGAGTTACACCAAAGCAACGACTGGCAACGGAACATGGTGCACAGGTTGCATCAAAGCCACGACCCAAGACATCTCCGTAGTGCCAGCGGCGCAAAGGTAGCGCAGGTGCGGCCATCCAACCACTGCAGTGGCCAGTGTCGTAGCGGGATCTTGCAGCAGACGATCGTAGAGATCCTCGGCTGCACAAAGAGTGGGGACGGTTCTCATGCGCAACAAGGCGCACACTCACACATCACACACACACACACCACGCCACCAAACTGGACACGGCCTACGGCCTTGTCGTAGCCTCTACAGTACTCGTGTAATGCATCAGGACGTCCAGGTGTTCCAGCTTGCTACAGTGGCGGCCAAGCGCTAGGATGCCCTCATCGATCGGAGTTTTCTGAAAGCCGACTTCGTCGGCATTCAACATAACAATCTTCAGGGAAGGGCATCTCTCGGCCACTGTTGCCAATGTGGCTGGATCAATCTGTTCGAAGAGGTTGATGTCCAATCGCACAAGGTTGGCACAGCAACTGGGAGCCTGCACGAGCGCATCCAAGATGGGATGATCTGCGCTGTGGGCCCTGAAAGGCCCCAGCTGATGCAAGCGGGACCCTATTGCTTCAAGAATGTTCGGCTCAACTCCAGCGACGACAAGGGAAACATTTGTTGCTGAAGAGCTCGAAAAGTTCTCTGTGAGCTCTGTTGTGTTCTCACAGAGGTCCAATGCGAACTCTATGTCATCCTCGTCGTGGTCGTCGTCATCGACCCATCCGAACTCGAGATACAGCGTCTCCACTTTAAGGCAACACATCGCTTTCATCAATTCTGCTGCCGAGGATGTCAACTCCAGACGGACAGACCTCAAAGACGCGAGCTGTGCCATGTTCCAGATAACCTCGGGGGATGAGACACCGGAAATTTCCAAGTGTGTCACGTTCTGGCAACGAGTCAGAAGCTCGAGCAGCTGGGGGGTTTCCGGCTCTGTGCGGTAGCCGTACACCACTTCAAGGAGAGGGCAGTGCTGGGCCAAGCTCTGAAGTGTGTTGGACAAAAAAGAAGCTTCGTTATTCCAGGCGAAGTCAACTAGCTTGAGTTGTGGACAGAGCGTCAGCACATCGGCCAGCAACTTTGGCTTGTTCGTCATGCCCTCGAGATCTCCAATCTCAAGCTCTTCCAAAGAGCCTTCGGCAATGCCACCGATGCGGGGCAATGAAGAGCAGTCCTCACAGTGAGAGTAGCCAATGTCCAGCACCTTGAGGCTAAGTCCCCGGTCGCAAAGGCAATCCAGTGCAGATCCATTAATGATGTTCCGGCTTGCACGTAGCTCCTTCAGAGTTGCTGGCACTTTTGCAAAAATCCTCTGAATGAAGTCTGCTTTTAAGGCGCACTGGCGAAGATCCAACACCCGTAGTGATGGAGTGATGCATTGCTCCAACCCGTCGAAGTCCCGTTCAATCTTGTACATTCCAGAGCAATCAAGCAAGTCGAAACTGCCCATGGAATCGTCGCTGCACTTCGGAAGGTTCGGGGGGCGTCTCGGCAGCACCTCTGCTCCGTCATTCCCTTGCTCTGGCAGGGGCGATGCCGAAGCCCACAGTGTCTCCAGCACGTCCCCATCCTTAAGCGAAGTTTCTGAGAGCTTCTGACCCGGTGGCAGCCACGAACCCTCCCGAAGAAGACGAGCATACACGGATTCCGACGGCTTCAATAATGCTTTCAAGCGAAAAGCCACATCATCAATACGCACGTGGTGCTCAAATTCAAGAGGTCCGACTGAGCGACCATCCGCGAAGCGAAACGATAACTGCATTGTGTCGGCCAGTGCTTAGCATTAAGCAAGGACCGGTATATAGGCCTTAAGGCAGGTTCAATATCGCTCTCAGCATGCATAGTCTGTCGAAAAATAGGCAACATCTGAGGTTCTTGAGACCAGCATGCTTGAGATGCTCGGCAGCTCTGCGAAAAAAAACTATCGGCATGACGGGCTTAGTGTCAAGTGTCAAGTAGCAGGCTACTTCAGGTCAACCAAATCTTCGGTAAGAGGCTGAACACCTGCTGTAATGTTGACGTGCAGTTTGTACAGTACTTGTAGTGGTAGTTGATTCCCATGGCCTATGCGGCGGCATGAGTTTGAGGCCGTCCAACCCACGCCAACAAAATCCATCAAAGAGCACAGAATTTCTGGGTCCAGGGCTTTGCCACAGTGCGGTACAGCGCATGTTGAGGCTGAGTGAGAATAGGCCTGGGCAGGGGTCCGAAAAGTGCGTCATGTTTGGTGCTCCCGAGAGCAATACCACGACCGCAACTTGATCAGGCCAGGTGGGGGGTAAATTCGCACGTCCCCAATGCAAGTCCTATAGCACCTCTTGCTCGCTTGATAGCGACACGCTTGCCTATCGCCAATCCCACGTGCATGCATGTACTTGAGCCGAGCCCACATTTGAGACTTTCTCGGAGCGCTTCCGGCAGACCACCCAGTCATGAAGCTGACTTGGCAGCCAAATAACTTCCGGGCCCCTGACGTGCAGGCTGCCAGGAAGGAAGCACTCAGGCGTGGAACGGGGCCTGGGATGCCATCCTCGCAAGCAAGGGCTGCAGAGCGCTTCGGCCACAGTCGACAGTGTCTGCAGCTTGTTCCGCGTTTGGCCGCTATCCCGGATGCAGAGACAGTTCCCGAGCTTCAACATTCACAAGGCATGGGCTCCATGATGGCAAAACAACACGGCCAACCGAGTTCCAACATCTGAAATCCTGGAAGCCCGAACCTTTCGAAGGCAATGCAACACATTGCAACACCTTTACATTCAGAGGGGTGTCCGTGGCCATCGATCACATATGGCGCCCGCACACAAACAGTCCCAGGATACGACGAAGTTCTCGGCCCCGGTTTGGTTTGATGACTTCTACTACTTGAGATTGAGATTAGTTCGGCATCTGATACCTCGGCAAGAAACAACCCGGTCTTGTTAAAGTTTGGCCTCCAAAAGCCCAGAAACTAAGCTAAAAGGGCAATGAAGCGACAAGATTCGAGAGAGCATCATGGTCAATTCATGGGCCTTCTCAGGAGGACCGACAGCATCCCGCGCATAGTAAAGAAGGCGAGCCTGGGCGGACACACTCAGCTTGCAGCTGGCCTGTGAAGTTTCTGCAAGCTTCTGCGCAAAATGTCAGCATGGCTATCCCGGTGTACCGCGGAGGTGCAGATTGCGATCTAGGTTATGCGTATGGTGCGACCTAGGCTGCTGGCAAGCTCTGGAAGCTCGCGGAATGGCAGCCGCTCGCGGGATGCCTTCGGACCCGTGAGCACGGAAACCGTCTTTCCCTCATTTTGCACCTTGTCTGGGTTCCACACCGGAGGAAGCTTGCTGCTCTTCAGTCGTTGATGTATGCATGGCTGTGTGTTTCAAGCGCAAGTCTTGTGGCTGACGGGAACACTGTATCGATCTGGCCAGGTCAGAGGTGTGTGGGCGACACCTTGTCTGCATGTGGCAAACGTTCCGAAACCAGAGAATGGGGGTTGGATCCTTCAGCGGAGCCTTCTCCACCTCTTCCAGGCTGATGTTCCAGGTTTGGGCCATGGCCATGACAACGGACAAGGCCTTGACAGAGCTTGGCCGCTACCGAGTAGGTTCCGGGTATTGCTGAGCATCATCCTGTGCTCGGTCGACTCGGTCTGCTGCGCAGGATTTCCAAATGTGAAAACACAGAGAGTCTGTTCAGCCTTTGATGAAAGCTCTGTCTTTGGGCGGTACCTCTACCTGAAGTTACATCTCAACCCCGAACCACGATGCACAAAGTCGGCCTCAAAAGCGCAGGCACGGAGGAGGGTGTCGCAGCCTTCGGCAAATGATCGGAAGCGCAGGCACTCAGGACACCCCGGAACTGCTTGAAGCCCCTTGCACCGAGCCCCCGACATGCGAGGCCCAGCAAAAGCCTGGGTACCGAAGCTCCGGTTGTATGGAAGAGGACTTCTTGGCGTTTGAGCTGTTTTGTGTGCTGCTTTGCGGGGCTTGCGGCCGAAGCAGGGGTGTGCGCCCAAGCGCCAGTGAACCCTCGACTGGATTCTAAGGATGCTGCTTAACTCTGAAGAGGGAGCAAAATAAACTCTTGCGGCAAAGAGCTGAGAGCTCCGGTTTGGGCTGCAAGCTTAGGCCCCGTAACATCTGTCCTTTGAATGTGGAATCGAGCAGCATCCCAAACCCCAGCGTCAAAGTCTACGACGCCCTCCGAAACGGAAGGAGGCCTTGTGAGTCTGAAGCCATTGAAGCCCAGACGCAGCTCCAGCGCTCCTCCGCACATCAGGGCGCCCAGCGCGGGGCCCCAGGCTGCCTTGGAGTTGGCTCCGCCTTGCGATCAAGTCAGGTCAGGTCGGAGGGAACTCAGAGACTTTCCGAGCTCCGAGCTCTGCATGAAGGCCGCACGCAGCTGGCCAGCAAAGAAGGGGAGGAGGTATGCAATGTCGTAGGACTCTGCCTCCTTTAGCCTCTCCTCGCAAGATCCCAGAAAGTCTCTGTTTGGGAGGACGTGGAGTGAGCCAGCAGGAGTCCTGCCGGGCATCTGGCACATCGAGGCGAGGCAAAGGGTCGATGGAAGAGCGGTCGAAGCTGAAGCTTTCGGTCGTGGCCCTGAGCCTGAGGCGTGAGCTGCAGAGGACGCGTGACGCGGGCTACCCCGAACGCAGACCAAAATCACCTCTATCTGCTAATTTGTTGGGTGACCTGGAGCTTCCTACCTTGAAAGCCTGGAAAAGCCTGGAAAAGCTTGGTTGCAGAACAGCCTTTGCGAAAGCCGAGGCAGTGGCCTTCTTGCATCCAGGTCCCAGCCCCAGACAGGCACCCAGGACTCCAACTTGCCGACCCAGGCTCGGAACGCCCAGAGCTCCTGTTCAGGAGCCTCAGGCACCTCCAGGGGAGTGGCTGCCTCTGAATTCCCATAACATTCCATTTTTTGTAAAGGACGACCGGTCATGGGTCAAAATTCAAGCATGCCTGGATGGAGACGGAGGCGTCCTCGGCCGCCCAAGCCACGAGCAGCTGCCGCCGAAGGAGATCCCCTCTGCAGCGTTTACGTGCTCAGAGTGCAGAGAGCAAACACTGTCTCTTGCAGTCGCCTCGGGAGCGCGAGGCGCCGTAGCTGGTCTGCACACATTGCACGAAGTCCTGGTGGGTTATCACACCCCAAGGCTTACATAAATCGTCTTTGAGCATTCAGGCACAACAGCTCAGCGTTGCTCCATTCGGCTTGTAAAATGGACTGTTCCGTCTTGGCATGTGGTGCGTCCGTCTGAATTGCACCCTGCTCTCAGTGAAGGATTCGGCCGGCAGCTGACACATCATAATGGGAATCTAGAATGCCTTACAGAACCTTGAAGTCGGAATCTCGTCTTCTTGGTGTGACGGAGTGGCGAGTGGAGCAGGAGCAAGCCCTCTCAGCCCGACAGACCGAAAAAAGCCAGGCCAGGGAGTGTCGAAAAATATCGAAAAGTACTTCGAGGAGTCCTGCAACCTCTCCGGCTGGGAGGCGAGAAGATCGGCCCACCAGCACACTGCATGCTCCAGCATCCACTCGGGCACTTCGCCCTCCTCACCTGAGGCGAGGTTGCGTCGAGAGCTGCTTGCAGGTCGCAAAAATTCTCGAGCGTTAGTCTGCAATCTGGAATCTAGAAGGCTAAACAGTCCTCTCCTCCCCGTCGCGGCGAGTTGGTGCCGAACATGTGTCTGTTTGCGTGCGCCAGCGAAGTCTGATTCGCACAAATCGGAGCTTCTGCATTGTCAAACGCAGTGGATGAGTGTTGCGATGCCCATATTCTAGAAGCAGGCATGTCACGTATATAATGTCATGACCCGTCACAGCATGGACAAATCTGCCCGAATCGCACAGACTCCAGCTGCAGACAACATCTGGTGCAGAACATTCCAGGAACCTGCATCGGTGATCAGCCGCCGCGCTGCTGTCACCTGGTCATCCCATCGAAGACACGAAGGCAACCCAAGAACGCGGGTTCGACCCGGTCTGCCCTGGGCTCTGGCTTCCCAGGGTTGTGCACGTGCTTGGACTTGGAGGACACCGAGCAGGGCCGCCACCGACTGCCAGAGCGCGCTGTTAACATGAAGAGATGGAAGACGTCTCGATCAAAAAGATCCAAATATCCAAGCAAGCTTCTAGCACGCTACCTTTACATCCTGTTCGGTGCTTCTTGGGCCTACACTAGATTTTACATCTGCCGATCATCTGCCGTTGGTTACGGGACCACCTCCCAGGCAACTGCCATGAGCGGGTACGACCCGCATATCGTACTGACATGGTTCCGAGCCTATGCCACATCACAACGAACCCCAACTAGCACGAATTGCTGGTCAACCTGCAACAGGGAGTGCTTCTGCATCTGCTCGTGTGCTCCGCGTGCTTCGAGCTGGCAGTGATAAGGACCTACTGCTTCTCACGGATGTGCACTCGATGCGCCAGGTCGTTTCTGACCAGACAGCCTGTGCTGAGGATGCGACTCATTATGCAGGTCTCTCGCTGCGAAAACCGTACGGTGAGAGTATCCTGGTGTGCTCAGGTCAATGTCCTCACGGTACCTTATAAATTACAGTATTATAGATTATATCCCACAGCCTGGCGTTTGTCCGGGGCTGCCACGCCGGCCTGGACCTGCCAGATGAATGCCACTAGCTCTGGACACATTGCCACCAAAATGTCTTGCACCTGAGGACCCGTGAATCCTACTTCATGTCCGGTTGTGCGCAGAATGGGGAGCGCCGTGTCATGCGGATCTGAGCCCGGCACATACTGCTTCAGCGCTTCCTCAGCAGAGCTGAAGACAAGCTTGTCGAGCGCGAGGGCTTCGGCGACTAGCCTGGAATGTGTCGAGGATGGTTCAAGCGGCACCCTACCTGGGCCAACCGCTGCGTTTGGTAGCTTCAGGTCCCAGCCCAAGGCTCGGGGTTTTCTCAGTCTTTGCTCAAACAAGGAAGAGGCGGCTCAGGCCAGGAGGCTTGTGATCGGCGGCTTTCATGGGCCCGACGACGTCAAGGAAATTGCCTGGTCCGTAGTTCGTAGGAGTCGGATGGTTCTTTGAGTGCTGCTTTTCCCCTGAAACGATGTAAGAACCCGTACGGCTGAACGGCAGAGGTAGACTACCAGCGAGCTTCCTAGAAAGTCTTTGCCGGATGCCATGACAGATGAGGTAGAACAGGCAGAGAGACGACCCTCGGGAGCAGAGAAGGGCCGGAACAGTCCGGTGGTCCCAGGGCGCCAAAAGGGGGGAGAGGCAAGGACTCGGCCCCAGGCCAAGAGCCGAACCCAGGGCCGGCGAGTTTCCTCGGCGCAGCCTCTGCTTAAAAGACAAGCGCCCCCTTTGCTTCAGCACAGCGACTTTTTTTGTCTGTTGAGGGGGGCTTGTTTGCTTGCTGGCTTGTTGATTTGGTGAGACATTGCCGTTGCTTCACGATGCACGGCGGGTCCACACTGTGCTGGAGCACGTTCTGCATAAAAGTCTAAAGTGAGTTTGTTCGTTCACATTGTGCTCGTCTTATGTCTGTGTGTGCGTGCAGTTACATGTGTGTGCTTGTGTGTGTGTGTGTGTGTTCTCGTTCGTGGTTGGTTGCTTTCTTCCTTTGGTGTCAATCTGTTCGATTCAATGTTAATCAATCCTTAACTGGATTCTAGATTCCAGACAAGATACCATCGACCTCGTGCGTATGAAGACCGGACTTGCCGCAAGATTACCGAGGTGCTGATGGCGCCTGCCTCCTGAGGTGCCCAGTACATGTCCCCTACGATGTCACAGGCGTGCAAGCTCTGGAGATTGATATGTTCAGCATCCCCAAAGAGAGATGTGGATCTCCACCGCACTTGCACATGGCACTTTTGAACCGCACCACTCTCCATCGCAAGTGGTGTCCACCTACACTACTCAAAACCATTCCGTTTACTAGTCTGTCATAGCCTTTGTGACACACATCAGGGAGGTTGAAGATGAGCTTCAGCCACTTGGAACAGCACCGACAGTAGTCCGCACACAAGAGCTCCTATTGCTGATGCGTTTGCAAGCGCAACCTTCGCTGCCATTGCACCAACATTCGCGGCCTTTGTTTTGGCACCAAAGTAAACGATACCAGCAACGATGCCAGGCGGCCCAACAAATTGCGCTACAAAATATGCGAGGACGGCCAGAAGTCCCGGTGACCACATGGCAGCAGAAGAGGTTGCCACAAGGCCACTGCAGGCTTTGATGCAGCCCAGGATGCAGAGGCCACACAGGATCTTCGTCCCCCGCTCCAGCATTCTCAAAACGTTCGTGGCGTAATGCATAAATTCTGTGTGCGAGTGGAAAATCCCAAGTTTGTCGCCTTTGTGATGAGCCTTGTCCGGAACCCTGGCAGCCCGAATGGGCGCCGAGTAGCTGTAGGCTGAGAGCGCGATGGCAACAATGACGCAGACTGCTGCCAACAGCGTCTTTTTAGGATGTGTCGCCATTGCAAAAAGCCCACCCTGGCTATGGTCCAGGCCTGCGCTGCTCCGTTGCGACTCAGCAAGTAAAGTACTGCTTCTCAGTTGAAATCGCGCTTAGAAGCTCCAAGCCTCTGGATTTCAACATCCTAGATTCCTCTACATTACATGTGCTTTTCAGTCTTCAACCTGTTTTTGGCCACTTTACAAACTTGAGCAGATCAGCTTGTGCTACGGAAGAGTTTCCTGGTATTCCTCAGCCCCGCAAACCGTGGATGCTGCTGCAAATCTGAATTTCTGCACCCCAAGCCTTTCAAGTCTGCTCGGGAGGCCAAACGCCACTAACGAACGTCAAGTCGCTCCAGCCGCAGCTGCAGACGCCGGGACCGCGTCGCACCTCAACCCAGCATCACGCTCGTCTTGTTCAACATAGAGCCAACGGCACATTGCACCTTCAACGAAACACGAAATGTTCCCGGGCTGCGGACCAGCGTGCGGTTTCTCCTGAGATTGGTTTTCAGGCCATGCGTAGAAAGATTTGACCGGTGGCTTGGGCATGAGATGGCATGAGCGACTCAAGCGTCGCAAGCTCAGACTTCATTAATTCAATCGCAGGCCCACATTGCTAACGCTGACATGGGACAAAGCTGCTGGCTCCTTTGCATCCAGAGCTTGCAACACGGTCTTCTCGAGAACAGGCATAGGTGTAGTGGCAAACCTTGGCGGCGCAGAGCAGTCTTCATGTCAATGGACTTAGGCCCAGACACACGATGTGCTTCGGCGAGCCTTTGGGTGCCGAGCAATCCCTTGTGTTCTTCTTGAAACATCAACTACCCTTGCTTGGAAACGTTTCCAGCCGTGAAGCAACAAGGAGGCTGGCTCCGGCAGTCAGCCCTCTCAGGGGCGGGCAGTTCAACCAAGTGATCCTGTATCGTGCCGCAAGCTTCCATCATCTTCCATCGACAGCTTTATCGACTGCCCCGGCTCTCACAGCGGCTCTCATGCGGGCCCGGTGGCTCGAATCTTGCGGCACATGGTTGCAATTCAGCGCTTTCGTAGCTTGTGGCTGTTGTTTCGGATCTGTTGGAGCCTTCGTTCTCTCTGCATGGGCTCCGGGCGGCTACTCTCGTCACAGCCCGGTCAACACAGATCATACAAACTCAGAACCAAAGTGCATCTCTAGAGCTCTCTCTCTCTGTTCCCTCTGATCTCAGAACTGACAGGATTGCACGTGAGCAGCATCTCCCTTCCCTGCAAGTGCTAAAGCTGTCTTTGAATCACGATTGAAAACGTTTGGAAACCATACGGCGTCGTGCGGAAATGTGCTAAGCCGACTGGGCTGGTGCCCAGGAGACGGTAAAAACAACAAGCTTAATTTACTAATCAGAGACGCGCCCCTTCAAAGTATCAATTTAGCAAACGATGCCGAGCTTCCCAAAGCTACCCCCCTCCTCTTTCGGAAGCGGCAGCAGCTCTGAAGGCGAAGGGGGTGCCTTCCGCTCCCAGGCTGAACTGGATGCGACTCAGCGATGAAATGAATGGGGGATCTGCCAAAGCGACACGTGCGCAGCGCTGACGATTTGCAGAGTTTGGCCGAGGCGGAATCAAGCAGAGGGGCGGCGGGCGCTCCAGCCTCCTCCATCCAGGCTACTTGTTCGAGCCTGGCCAGCAATGAATCGGAGTGTGTGGAGGCCCGGACCAATACTGCGGAGCCGCAGCAGATGAAGCCCTCCACAAAACATGCCTGCTTCACGGGGCCAAGGCTGCTGCCAAACGTAGCATCTCGGCAGAAGGCTAGCTGGCTGTCTTGGGCATGTGGGGTTGAGAGAACTGGAAGAACCCAGTGCCTAGTTGAAATGGGGCGGAGCACCTCAAAGCCTCAGACAGCCTCTGGACTCCGAGTAGCATGCAGTGAGAACCATTCTCTGCAAGGCACGATTGCAGGGGATCCCGTGCGCCAGGATAGCTGGGAAGCCACTGCCTCCTTGAGCTTTGGGTTCAGATGACCTCAGATTCGATGGCAGTGCAGTCACAGGACGCTGACCGCTGCGATTGGGGTCCGACGCCGACCCCATACTCGCCTTGACCGCTTCAGTCTTCAGACTGCACGACTTCCTGCTCAACTCCCCCTTAAGCTTCAAACGCTTGCCAACCTGTTTTGCCCCTGAGGCGGCAGGAACTATTCGCCACTTCTACCTAAGATGCGGCTCTGCCTCACTATCACACCACGTGCGTCCATTCTCTGCGTGCAAAAACGCGACACGATCAAAACAAATCACGAGCGACAACATCAAGACAACACGAACGAGTGCACAACACGACTCCAACTGATGATTCCTTTCGATCACCTTCCCACCAGCAAACAGAACCGTGGAACAGCAAATCGTGAGTGGAATTGTCAAGGGAAGCCTTGGGGAGACTTCGCAGCCATATTGCATGCAAATAATCAAACCGTCGGGTATCTTCCGGGGCACTGCAAGGCTGCAGGCTCGTCTCCATGGGGCCGGTGCAAAGTGCGTCTTTGGCAGATGCACTCGATCCACCACCATGGTTGCCAGAGCCGTATCCATTGTTACCAAACCTCTGCCATGGGAGCCCGTAGTTGCCAGCATAGCTGAAGCGGCGCCTACGCAGCTCCAGGGCTCGGCCTTCTCCCCCCCTCTCGAAGCGACTTCCGAAGGCCGCTTCTCTAAGGCATCCGCACAGCCGCTCAAGCAGCATTGCCACACCAGAGGTTAGGCCTGGATGAGAGGGCTGGACGGAGCTCCAACCACAAGGGCCCAAGGAACAGTTAAGGGCAACAATAGCTCATTGTTGCGTATCCCGCATATCTGCATGTGATGCATGCCTTACATGTTTCGGCGGAAGGGTGTGCATTTTTGGCGCTAGCATGCTGTCTCCTGAGACCAAGGCTGGCGTGAGGAGGAGTGAACTGTGTTGGCCTCCACAAGCCACGGAGCAATGTCAAAGGACAGCCGCATTACGTCCGAAAGCAGTGAGCGCCGAAACAGGCCGCTACTCGAGTAGTTGTCCCGAAGCAGAAATGAGAAAGAATGGACTACTTGAGCTGGAACCCCCCTGCCAGTAAGTTTTTCGGCCAGGACTGGTTGAAGAAGCACGATGGCAAAACCGACATGTGCTACTGTTACAAGTACTACCAGAGATTACCAGTGAAGCAGAAGAAGCAGAGAAGAACAATCCCTCCTCAACAATTTGCCTACATCAGAGGCTCTGGCTCTTCCTCCAAGGCCAAACGGAGGAGGGACTCCGAGTCACAGCTCAGCACCTGCCAGCATCTGCCAGCCCAGACTGGGGAAGAACCTGCCTGTGCTCTTCTTTTCTTCTCGCGGCTGGAAAAACATATCAGAAGAAAACCCAACACCAGACCAGGGCCGATGACTCCAAGCCGTCCCCAACAACCTGTCCATCAGGGCCTTGTTGAAGGCAGCCGCCGACGCAGCATCGGATCTTGATGCCAGGGTGCGCAGTACCTTCGACCTTTCCAGCTCAAAAAATATGCCCAATACACAATCATCAGCTTCATCGGCATCATCATCATCATCACCATCATCATCATCACCATCATCACCATCAACACCAGCATCGTCATCATCAACAACATCAACAAAATCATCATCAACAACATCATCAAGCTCACCATCATCACCCTGGTCGTCATCATCACCGTCAGTAGGACAGCATCATCATCACCACCACCACCACCATCATCCACAACGTCATAGTCGTTGTCGTCATCATGCACTCCTACTATCGCAAGCCACAGCTATCTTCTGTCGCGTTCATTACTTCTCACCACCCTCACCGTCACCATGTACTTGACGGTCTAAGCAAGATTTCGAAGATGACGAAACTGACACAGTCCATATGATGCTCATACGATAATGATGCATTCCACCAGATGGTGTCGGCGACGACGAAGAAGATGATGATGGGTATGCTGGGAATGATCAGGATGGTAATGAGAAAGGGGATGAAAAGGATAGTGGCGGAGGCGGTGGATGATGGTGATGCTTGTGGTCGTCGTCATCATCATCATCATCACCATCACCATCACCATCACCATCACCATCACCGTCACCGTCACCGTCACCATCATCATCACCATCATCATCATCATCATGATTATGGTGATAATGATCGTAGTGACGGTGATGCTGATGGCGATGGCGAAGGTGACGACAACGGTGATGATCCAGGTGCTGGCTGGAGCCAGTCCTAGCGGTGCAGCTGGCGACAGCGCACAGGCTAGTCTGCTGCTGGCTCTTGCCACAGCCAACAATAAATGCGAATTGAGACGCGAACAATGGCTATCTTATAATAAAGGGCAAGCAATGATCATCGGAAGAAGAATACCAGTTCGAAGGACATGTCCTGTGGTCTGCTATCTATAGGATCTTAGGATTGTACCGAAGACACGCGCTAGTCGCTGACAATGTTTGGACTTGCAGTGAACCCCGCTTGTGACTATAGACAGCACGGCTCGAACACCACCAGCAGTAAGTTGCATAGAAGAAAAGCCAGTCAACCGGAACTGACATACTATGACTCCCTATACAAACACTGCGCGAACAGACCACAGCTTCTGCAGCGCAAAAAGCAAGCAGCCTCTGCTGTGAATCCAGCTGAAAGAAAAGTTGAAGAGCCCCATCCTGCATCGGGTTTGTTGCATGGAGGAATCCAGGCCATGGGGGGCAAGTATACACCTCCTGGGAGGGTGATTGAACAACCGTGCAAAAGGGCTTAAGGAAAGCATCTCACTCTGCAAATTGCACGAGGCACGCAAATGCTGATCACCATGATACAACAGCTGTGGAAAGAGACCTTGCACAGATCGTTGAGGGCATCGGTCACTGCGGCATCGTCTCCGAGCCCCTGACCAGATCATCATACTAGATAGGTTGAAGACATTTGAAGACATGATGCCGAGTACAGTCTCCGATGGACAGAGCATGCCCCTGCCTCAATTCCGTTCACCTCCGTCGCCTCCTCACGTTTCCGCTTCCTGGAATCGTTGCAGCCGAGAACACCCCTCCAAGTGGACAAAACAGTCGAGGACAGTCAGGTACACCGGGCACCAGTTCGCAACTGACGCGATGCGCAGAACCCTGAGATCTCTGCTGGGATTTCTGAACGCCTTCCAGCTTCTCCAACAGGCTCCTTGGCAATACTCACAACCCTACGACCCTACGAGTAGCGATCAATGCAGTGGAGGATCCCTCGGTAATCTGAGTTCATGCATCTGCGAGGCACAAGCTTAAAGACGGATAAATACCAACGCCCTATGCACCTGAGTTCGACGGAGACGCTCGAAAGACTTCTGAACCCTAATCTCCTAGTCCGACGCTCCAATGCCTCATTTTGCTTCCGTCCAAGAGGCTGCCGGATGCCCTCGGCACCTTCAGGATCTCCTCACCGCTCGGCGGGCGTGGAAACCGCAGACTAACGAATGGGTGAAAGCTCTAAAATGAAAAAAATTGCGGACAGGCTCTTCTCCACAAGTCCACTTGCTGCAACATGTCCCCTCTGCTGCGGGGCTGAGTCGAGTCGAAGAGCTGACAGGGGAATGCTTGCTAAGTCGGGGTCTCGTTGACAGACCCCCAACTAGGCCACGTTGGGTGGTGTGACATCGGGACAAGTTTGACAGTCTTGAGCTTCAGAGCGAAACCGGTGTGCTACCGTGGGCTGGTGGGTCTTTACCGGCATATTCAGCCTGCCTTGAGATGCAACGGCTGCATCCTCTTTTGGCCTTACAGCATGTGGGTTGACTCAACAGCTTGAACTTACATGTCCAGTCCTCATGAAGGCAAGCGGCAGCTGGGCGAAAAGTAGAGACTTCACCCTACGCTGATGCTGAGGTGGGCGCTGAGTTTCTCCCACCGAAACCTGACGAATGCTTTCGAACAGGGGCTTCAGTTTTCCAGCAGATTCACACAAAGTGCTAAGGTCCATATCAACTGTCCTAGACACGGTCATCACAACTGGTGCCGTGCTTTGCCGAAGCTGGTAAAGCAAGAAAGCTGACCGGAGGACGTAGCTGGACTCCAATTTCAGAAAATGATAACCTAACACCACGCAGCTGTCTCATAGCCGGGCAGCAGTACCAGCAATCCACTCCCCAGCACCTCGAACGAGGGCTGCCAGGGGCTGCGCGGTAGCGGGGAGCTGCCTTCAGCCACTCAGAACTCAACATGACACAACCAAAACATGCCCGGACGACAAGTGCAATGATGCAACGTGAAGCATTTTTGCAGTGCGGTGCTGTCGCACGTGGTGCGGTGTGGCTCGAGGGCCTAGTCAGCTTGATATAACGGTAGAACTGGTACATTGGGGAAGGCTCACACTCATGCACACTACGCAGCACACGCAAACCAACCATCCCGGATCCAGAAGAGGAGGGGCGTCCAAGAATGGAAAGGTGAGGGTCCGACATGGCAAGCTGCACCATGGACTGCTTTGTCATCTTCGCACAGATTATCGCCATGCTCCGACCTTTACAAAATGTCACAGCAGCCCATTCCTAGATGTTCATGGGCTGAGCAACAGCATACAATCAAGTTCTGTGCGCAGAGAAGCACTGCTCGCTTGCTCTGCGAGGGGCGGTCGTCCATGGCAGCGTTGCTTGGCAGGCCGAGGCCCTGCCTGGGCTTGGATCACCGCCGTGCTTCGGAAGTGCTTTGGGCTTTAGGCTTTTAGACTTGGGTTTTTTTTTTAAGCACCTTTTACCACCAGCATCCGACAGAATCCACTCGAAAGCAGAAAGTGCGTAAAACTGGACCACATACATAGACTTGGGTTTAGGGGCAGCTGCCAGTGTTTCAGTTGACCTGGGTTCCTCAAAGATGTTCACCTCCTTCTTGTCTTACCGTCTCCGCATTTCGGATCCGGCATGTTTGAGCTCGGGCTGGAACAGGAGCCCTTGATTACACCTGTTGGACATTGGACACGCCCCTCAAAGCCCTGAATGCGGGTCTTTGCTTTGCCAAGTGGCGGGTCACGCCGTGCCAATTGCCGCACCAGAGCGAGAAGCAGCAAGGAGTCATATGCTTTCTCCTCCGGCGAGGCTCCGCCATGAGGGACGCTGCACATCGTTTCTCGGAACGCAGGACCGGCTAGCTGGTTCAGTTGGGTATAGACCCAATAGGTGGGCTGACCTCGGATACCTCATGACTTCAACTTCAACCCCCCACATGCAGTCGAAGGACATACCAGTAGCCGCAAAACCCGGTGCCTCGATCTCTGAAAAGAAGAACCCAGGCCGCAGCAGCACAGATTGCAAAGCCTGGCACAAAAACTCTGCAAAATGAGACACCCTTCCGGGAGAGTGTGGTGATTCTGGCAAGTTCCTCTATGAGCACTGTGTCCACAACGAGCATTGACGAGCCGAGGTTGAAGGAGGTTCATCTGATGATCTCGTGATGCACACCTCTGCTCTGTTGGGATCAGAGCTCGAAGTTCTACTACAACATGTCTACGTCTCAAAGGCTGGCTTCAAATGGGTTCTCAGCGATGCAGCCGTTGAGGCTGCATCACTGCGTTTGCAGCTCTGCTCCAGAAACCCACGAGTTCGGACAAACCTAGGCAGGGCCAAGCGTGACTTCTGACATGCCCAGGAGGCAGCATTAACTCTGCCCAGCAAGCCTGGCAGAAGAAGCCAACACTCTGCGGCCATTTCTTCGTAGCCGCAAGGAGCTTTTGCAGCTCAACCTGATGCTCATGGCCTGAGGAATCAATGTTGCTGAAGATCTCAGAAGTACGAATTCAGGAGTTTCATTGAAGCTGGGTTTCTGGGTCAGTTGTTTGCAAATGCAACGCCCGTTTAACTCCATCACAGGAAACCAAGGACAGCACTTCACCCAAGAAGACTGGTTAATCAAATCAAAGACTGCTTAGACCGAAGACCTTGCGGTGTTGGTAAACACGAACAGCGCAGCCGAGAAGGGGGAGCACGACACTTGCCAGAGAACTCGGATCCATCAACGAGCATTCCTTGAGGCCCGGGCCACAGACTTTGCGGTCCCCGATGAAACGAACCAGCTGCCTCTGTGGGTGTCAGCACGAGCGGGTATAAAGCAGCCATCGTCCGATCAATACTGTAACACCATCTAACACAGGTAACAAGGCTTCTGCCTTCCATCTCACTATACAGAACTCAGGACATGCCACTGAAACGGGATTCAAAATGTCACCAAAAGCCAATACAGTAGCATTCTTCTGCAGGCTGCACTGCATGGTGTAGCCAGGACATGTGTGTACTTTCTCCACCACATCCATGGCAGCCCACTGTCTTGGCGTGGCAAAGATACTGCACGAGCATCTGAGTCGGCGTGCTCTGTGCAGTCGCTGCAGAGCTCGTCATCCGATGAAGCAGACCGAAGTTGGAGGAGGGTCTGTCAGGGTGGAAAGTCATGCAGCCAAGACATCCACGAAAACCTGCGGCCTCCAGCCACACTCGCTGCGATTTCGAAAGCTGCAGCGACAGAGACCTTGCCTGCCTGGGTGCAGACAAATGCTCCGCGTGCATCAACTCGGCAAGTCTAGATTTGGGGCTTTGGACCATCTCCCTCGCAGCTTGTAAGCGCCGAAAACCCAAAGGACGCTTCGCGCACCGATTGATGTGCGGGGTGGCTAGAAAGGAGAGCTACTGGATGCAAAAGAAGCAAGCATTTCTGTCACATGTACCAAATACACTGAAAGAAAGGTTCTGCGCTCAGCATTGCATCATGCAAGTGGCTGGACGAATGATGCATGCAGCCGTGGAGAAGGCACAGGCGGAGGTAGCAAAGCGAAAATCCCGAGGACTCTACATGGCAGCGCCAACACATTGGACGCAGGCTCTGAGCCTCTCGGCGGAGAGTGGCGGGCCTGCAAGCGACACCAGCGGCACACTGGCAAGGACTATGGCCTATGGATATACACATCAAGAACCTCAGACTTGCTTACACATGTTGCCGGGTACCACCTTGGCCAGAAAGCAGAGGCGATGCAACGGCCGAGAGGAGTTTAGACCTTGTTGGACTTGGCACGGCTGAGGTCTAGGAGTCTAGGACTGACCGGACAAGAGGTGCGAAATGCAAGTGCAGGACGGAATCAAAAATACGAACTAATCACGAGGACGAGTGAATCTTACAAGGCTAGGCTACAGATTTGGACAAGTTTGACTTGTCCGTTCCTCGTGTTGCCGTACGGCTTACGACCCTGTGCATGTGCAAGACACGACGTCATCTCAGTCATTCCATCCAAAACTAGAGCAACCCTTGCCTGGCAACTCAGCAGTCGAGCAGATTGTGGAAGCTGCAGAGACACTGCTGAAACGTATTCCTATCTCCTGCAAACAATTGCGTGGCAGCAAGAACAACTCGACAATGAGCTATACAAGGTGCTGAGGATGGCACCAATCAAACTTGACATCTGCTGCACTTTGCGGAAGAACCTCAATGTACCTCCAAGAACCACTTAGACTTGTGAACGGCTAGCGGCTTGCGTTGTGGGCCCAGCTCGACATAGAGTAGCTAAGTTTGAGCAACGCGCCAAAAGAACCCTAATCGCCAGTTCGTGCCAACTTGTAGTTATATCTGCGTCTTCGGATCCCATCTTCGTGACTTTAGTGACTTTGGTGCATATGCGAGTTTGGCGAAAACTCTGTGTCCCAAGCCCAAGCAACCACCAAGCCATCATCGACCCTCGTCGACACACACGCCTTAGCCACGCCGGAGCCCCTCGTCCAAATGACCGGGCCTCTGTGCATTCTTGCACCATGTGGTAAAAATCGTATGGCTCGCCAAGGGACCTGGCTGAAAGAAGCAAAGCTCTCAACTCGGTGTTGCACCTCAGTGAGGCGGCGATTGAATGGCATTAAGTCGAAATGCAGGCCTCTTAGGCTATGACCATGAACGGTCACCCTGTGGGGCTGGGACAGTCCATTTACACACAGGGCTTGCTAGACAAATCAGCACCAGACCCCATGTGCTGGAAACTTGTTTTCCCACGGACAAGCCCATGAAGCTCCGAAGCTTCCACCAAGTGCATCCTTGCTGACAACTTGAAGGATTGAACGCTCTAATGTGTGAAGTCTGCAAGCATTCCGTCAAGGCCTGGCAAGCCAAGCAGTGTCACCACGTCTTCCTCCAACACCTGCCATGCAGACACGGGTCACTTGTGCCGGCCTTTGCACTAAGCGCAGATGGTGAACATCCATGGGACAACCAGCACATGTCCTCTACGGAATGCATCGGATTTAATGCATGAGCCTCGCAGACGGCTTGGCCACCCTTCTGCCTCTGCCACAGAAAGCTTGAAATACTCGGATATACATGGAGAGACAGCGTGGGAAGAAAGCTTCATGTGCACAGCCAATGCCGTCAGTATCGCTGCTGGTTCTTACACCATTGCTATCCTGCTGCAGCCCACGGCTATTGATTGCTGGGATATTCCGTGCTTGGGCATGATATGACACACCGTCCAGATGATGATGCCCTGTGTTGATATGCACGCCAATGAGCAAAAACGCCTGCCGCTCGTCGATGATTCTCCGAACAGTTTGATGGTTACGTTTGGACATGAGGACACCATGCATGGCGTATACTGCGTAGATGCTCAAACACCCACCTCAAACATCCTGTAACCAGCCAAACTGGGTGGCATGCGCAACCTTTCGCACAGTACATAAGTATTTCTTTCTGGACATTTCTACTCCGTCGCAGTGCATCTCAGTCACCCTCAGAACAGCTCGACCCGCCCAACACTAAAACCGCCGTGCAACCAACGATGATCTAGATCTGCCTTTCTATGTAAAGCCTTCGTGCATGAACTAGTCGAGGACCCGGCTCCTCTTCTGCGTCCGTGTCTTCTGACCTCACCACTGCAGGGTAAAAAAAAAAACAGCGCAGCCTGCACAAACCGCCATTGCACGATAAGTCGTCCATGCCTTTGGGAGTGCTGCGCACCAGCAGGTTGTGTCTCAGTGATTCCCGCTGAAGTCTCACCATCCTGCAATGAGCACCGATCAGCCCTGTCCAATCACTTCTTTACACATGGGGTTTCGATGGTTTCGCCTTACCCACTCGACACAGAATGACACAGAGTCCTTCGACAGTTTCTGCCACAGAAGCAGCAGCGTGTTGAGGTCTGGCAGCCGTCCTTGGATCCGATTTTGCAGATCCTGACAGACGCACGCGAGCTTCACATGGCTTCTGTCAGTTTGTAACTCATGAGAAGCTGCGGCATCGTGATTGTGAATTCTAGACCAACTCGCTACTGCTCCTCCTCCATCTCCTTGCCGGAGATTGTCCATGGGCCTACATCTTACCTTCGTACTTTCTCGCCTACACATGCAAGGACGACCGTGAGCCCCCCAACAGTTTGCCAATCGATCGACAACATAGTGTGACTGTCCAGTCAACCAAAGTAGAAACGAATCGAACATGCAACAAAGCTTTTGATTCAACAGTTAGCAAGTCGTTGGAGTAGTCGCCTGTCATCAGCCGGGTCGTTCGTCGAAGCAACCAGCCGAGCAAATCTGCCATCAAGTCAAGCAAGCCAATCAACTCGTTTACAATCAACAATCACTAATCACTTCCATCAAGGAAACGAGTTCGTAAAGTAACCTCGCTTAAACGACAGGCAAATGAGGTGGACCAGCTTAGCAGTAAAGCAGGCCACCATCCATGAAACTTCAGTTGCCTCCAACTATGACAAGAGTAGCAAGGGCGGAGATCTCAAACCGAAGTCAGAAGGCCAAAAAAAAAGCCATCATTGCGTCCTCCCGCTCCGTTGGCATCCAGTCCGGGCTACGGAGCGCGCGTTGCAGGCGCTCCAAGGCCTTGCTGCGATTTTGTCAGCTCTTCCAAATCCAGCTTTTCCCCCCGTAGCCAAGTGCTCCACCGCTAGAAGCAGGACCAGCGCTCCCAGCTGCAGAAGCGGCTTTGGCTGGAGCAGCGCCTGTAGGCTTAGAGTTGCAACCTTATGCATGTTGCCATGGCAACTGCAATGTGGCAATGCCCACACCGAGACGACTACTACTCATCTACCCACATTTTTTGATGGTCTAGAGATGTCGCACGCAATGGGACCGTCGCTCGATATATTGTGAAAGCCACCACATGCAAAGAGTAGCTACAGTATGTACTTGTACCACCAATCCGTAACCACGAAGATCCGTACTGCTGCCATCAGGCAGCAGCACTCATAACGGACACGCAGCCCACCTGCGTAATGAGCCCCTTCTGCATCGCATGGGGCACCAATGCCTCCTGCAGCCAGGACCTTCGGCAGTTCGGAAGAGCAGTTCGGATTGAAGGACACGTGGACTGCGATGCAAAGCCGTGCTCACCCACCCTGCACTCTCCAAAGCCCAAACTTGAAGCCAAAGCCACACGAACATCGCGGTACATTGCTTCTCTAACCCTTCTTGCGGAGCTGCTTCTGAGATAGCGACATTCGCAGCTCAGCCGCCGCTTCGGTCCCACTGGCACCTGCAGGGCCCACCAGCGCAGAAGCCTGCGGCTCGAGTCTTCGGAATGGCAGTGCTTCAACTTTTACCGATCTGCGAAAGCCGCCATTCTTCGAGCTTTGGCTGGGGCCTCTCCTCTCAGCGAGGTCACGTCCATGCCCAGCAGCTTGGCAAGAAACCCGATACTGCGGAACCAGGTCCTGGCAGCATTATTGGGGGAAGCTGCTGGGTCAGTGCGAGCTGACGAACAGCCCCAAACAAGAGCTCATGCATGTTCTTGGTACTTGTTGTTGCGATGCGGCGCTGCCGATCTTGCTTTTGTTAGCAATACCTCGGCTACTCGGACACACAGATCTAGCTACCATTGGACATGGTGATGAGAGAATAGTCAGCAACACGCTCAACGCCCGTGCCCTCTACGATTACGAAGGGCTCGATGCCTGCGTGCTGCCTGCGTGCCTCTCTAACTCTAATACAAAATGGTGCTTTCTTCCAAACCTGTCCAAGCTCGACCGAAGCCCTCTCTGCAAAATGAAGGAGCAGTCCAATAATGGGGTTCCAAAACCCGCAAGCCCCAGGTGGAGGCGCCGTGTCATGCGCGGCTGCAGCGGCAGCTTGAGGCGAGCGCAGAACCTTTGAGCTGTGCTAGGCATGCTATGCTAGAAGCGGCGATGGCTTCCGAGCTTCGAGAGCTCCTCCTTTAGCAACCATCTCGTCCGCGATCTTTGCAAAAGCTTGGATCCTAGAGCTACCTCGTAACTACCTACTGCGACTGCATTGAGTCACACTCCTGTTCGGGAACCAGCTCATGCTGCAGCTAATGGCTCTGACACCCGTGAAAACACGATTCAAGGGAACGAATTTGCAACCTGAGCAAACATTGAGCCACAACTGCCGTGACATTGGCTCAAGCGAGCGCTGGTCACGAACAGTACTGAGGGCCTGCAAGCCATCGGTTGGACCTTTGGACAAAGACTTGAAGGAGCCAAAGCCCTGGAGCTCCCCTGTGTGAAGAGCTCGTTCAGCAGGCGCTACGGGGAATCGCCAGCATTGTAACCTGTCCGAGCACAATCACAGGGCAACTAGCGGCTTGCGCAGCAACTCACGGACACCCGCATAAACCGGCAACCCCTTTGCTGCTCAAGAAGCTGTTTTGCCGAGTGAAGAGATCGGAGTGACTGTGTGTCCTGATGAGAACTGGAATGGAAAGCATTCGGGATAGGGCCGGATAGGGGCGGGGATGCAAGCTCTCTGTTGAGCGTCTCCAGCCTGACATCAGAAGCTGCACGAGGGTTTCGAAAGGCTTCGTAAACAAGAGCTGAGTACATGCAAAGCATCCAGTGGGGAAGCAGAAGGCTTGCAATGACCGACCATTTCCCATGGCCTGTATGCAAAGAGCTCATCCAGAGTAGCTCCAAGTGGGGCTCTCCCACGGCGGTAAATCGTCCAATCTGCCACCTGAAGGCTCTGAGGCTGAAGGGTGGGGGTTCTGACATGTACTTTAGCTGTGCTGGCAGAAGCTGGTGATGCAAAGCCCTTCCAGGATGCAAAGCTACATCTCGAAGCGTTGAGAGCTTCCTTGTTCTGTCCTAGCAAAATGTCATTGCACTGCAGGACACCAAAGAAACTTCAGCTGGCGAACGGTGTCAGCGACTATCTTGATATCCCTGCACCATGTTCAACCTCAGTCCATCCCAAACTCAACTACTCCGGCACCTGTGGTTCCAGGGTCGCACGGAAGGAGTGGTGTGTCCGAACAGACACAGCGCGATCAGGCACCAGAGCCACGGCCTCGTCCTAAGCTCAAGCTTGTGAAATCTCCCAATCGATTTTCTGGTGTCTCCAAATCTAGATCTGCCAAGTCTCTCTGTTCATGTGACTGCAATGGAACTTTTGCAGATCCACGGTATGTTGGCCATCCTTGTTGATGGACACACATGGCTCGAACGTCCTTCGCGGATGCGCAAAGCAGCCCACCTCTTAAGTCTTAAGCTGTGCAGAACAAGAACAAGCTCTTCCACTGGAAAGTCAATTCAGTCATTAATCTCCCTTGGGCACATCCTGAAATTTGCGATTGTGGCTGCTTCGCGGGGCACCTACCAGTAGGTCCTACAACCCAGATCGAAAATTCCAAACTCTAATAGCTCAAACCGATCTTCCAAACCACGGCATCTTGTGACCTGGGCTCATACCCGCAGCGATCGGCTTCTCCATTGTTGGAAACTTGCTTATGCAGGAGTCCTGTTCCAGAACAGGTCTTCCAGCGTGTAGGAGTGTCTCGCCTCAAAGTTCGCAGCCGTGGTCTGCTCTACGCCGCTCACCTCGGCTGCCAGGAGGTTACGTCGCTGGTGTCGGATTAGTAGTAGCAGTAGAAGTACCAGTAGCAGGAGCAGGAGCAGTAGCCGGAGTAGCAGTAGTAGTAGTAGTAGTAGTAGTAGCAGCGGTAGCGGTAGCGGTAGCGGTAGCGGTAGCGGTAGCGGTAGCGGTAGCGGTAGAGGTAGCGGTAGCGGTAGCGGTAGCGGTAGCGGTAGCGGTAGCGGTAGCAGTAGGAGTAGCTTTTGTAGTAGTAGTAGTAGTAGTAATAGTAGTAGTAGTAGTAATAATAATAGTACTAGTAGTAGTCGTCGTCGTCGTCGTCGTAGTAGTCGTAGTAGTCGTAGTAGTAGTAGTAGTGGTGGTGGTAGTAGTGG